CCATGTTGGGACCTCCTGGAGTCTGTGAGGGGCTTGTCGGGGGAGCTTGTTGGGCTTGCGGGAGCTTCTTGGGGGCTTCTTGGGCGCTTGCTGGCGATCTGAAGGGCCTTTTAGCGGGGACGGCTCGACACGGGAGTTTGGACTCTCGTTCGTCAGGCATGTTGGCAGGCCTCGGGAGCCCTCTCGAGAGACCTCTTGGGTCGACTTGGGGCCCTCCTGGGTTGTTTTGGGGCTGCATTGGGACAGTCTTGGGCTGACTTGCTTCTGTGGGCTTCTTGGAGGTTTCTTGGGCATCTGTTGGCGGTCTCAAGGGCCATCTTCTGGGGACGGCTCGACATGCGAGTTCGGATTCCTTCTCGTGGGGACCTTTGGAGGGCCTCGGGAGCCTTCTTGAGAACCTTCTTGGATCGTCTTGCGGCCCGCTTTGGACGTCTTGGGACTGTCTTCGCAACGTCCTGGGCTGACTTTGGGCGATCTTGGCGGCCTCATTAGGCTGTATTGGGCGAGCGGAAGCTCGACACCTTTGAAAAACACTAGCAACATGCATACATGCGGGCCGTCTGGAGGCTTCCTGGAGCTATATTGGACCATTTGGAGGCTATCTTGAACCATTTCGAGGATGTATGGAGGCCACTGTGGAGCCTGCCACCCATGGATCTCGACTCGAATGACCTCTTCGGGCTCCCTCGGGGTCCCTTCGAGCGCTCCAGGGGCGCTCTGAGGAGCCCTGAAGTCCGTCCCCAGGAATTCTGGCATCCAGGAGGACCACCGGCCAAGGTCCGCCCGGGGTACTTCTCGTCCGGGGTTCCTCAGGGGCGGCCGCGCGCGCGCGAACTAGAAACAGTCTCAGCTTGGCACAGGACACCAGCGCGCCTCTGACCCGCTGGGCGCGTGAGTTGTTGCCCCTCAGCACCGGGGAGACGTCCACACGTTTGGACTCTGGGCTTCCAGAGTCCCCATACTTCGATGTCTTGCTTCTTTTACAGCGCGTCCCCTAGAGGTTTGGACCCATCTCTCAGGGACAGGCTTCTCATTGCGACTCGTCCTTTGGGTCCAGGTAAAGGTCCCCCACAAGTCCGAAAAATGCCAAAATCATGCCCGTCATGATTCTTAGGCTTATGCCACACCGCCGACCCCTTGGGGGCCTTTTCGGGGGCGGGCGGGCTGTATTCGGACTCTCTTAGGTCGTCTCGTAGACTCTTTCGGTGGCGTTTTTTGGGACTTTCTTCGCCAATGTGTCTTGGTTGTGTCTTGGGGTGTTTTACGGCCTTTTGGTGCGTCTGGAGGGCCTCTTGCAGCAATTGTGGTGCGGCTGGGCGTGGTGCTGCTTGTGTTGGTGTTGGTGGTTGTGATTGCGGTACTGGTGTTGTTCGGGGTTGCTGTTCTGTTGTTGTTGCAGATCGTCGGAGGATGGAAGGGACGAAGCTTCTTCTGCACAAGTTGCGAGGGAAGCAGGTGCCGTGGGCGGAAATAGAAGCGAAGCTAATGCCCCGGAAGACGTGCAGTAGGTGCAGAACTTTGAAGGAGAAATCTGAGTTTACTCCCACGGAGTTCAAAGAGACGGCAGGACCCAGTTTTTGTCGCGAGTGCACGGATGCGTTGAAGGAGGCAGGGGAGAAGTGGTGCACCGAATGCCAGACGTGGGCCGCGTTGGGGCCACGAGCGCCGGAGAGCGAGGATCGCGGGGGGCGAGTATAGATCAGAACGAGCAAGTGCGACAGGTGCGCGGGGCCCCCGCCGCCGCACGGAAGACATCGGAAGACATCGGAGGCGTGGCGGGAGAAGGCGCTGGAGAAGTTTAAGATTCATTGCGCGAAATGTAAGAGGTTTTTGAAGGCGGACGCGGACGTGGCGGCGAACCAGTACGACTCGAAAGGTGGGGGGGGGAAGCTTTGCAAGAAGTGCGCCAGTGAAAACCGCGGAGGTGGTGAAAACGGCGGAGGTCTGAACGAAACCGTCGAAGCGGCGAATGCACGTCGGAAAGCGCAGCGGTCGGAGAAGCCATTGAGATGTTCAGTGTGCCCGGCAGAAGCAGACGGCAAGGGTCCGGAGTTGAAAGACGCGAGGCATCTGACGCCGGACCAGATCGAGAAGTACCACAAAACGGGCGCGCATCATAGGCCAGTGGCGTGCGGGGCGTGCACCTCGGCGCGCGCACAGCAGCAGTCGGAGGCGCAGGTGTTCCGTTGTGGAGCAGGCCCGACGGGGGCGGATGGGAAGGGGCCCGCTTTTTCAGACGTGACACGTGAGTAATGTGTCGGAGAGCCAGAAAGTACATTATAGGAAGACGGGCCAGGCGCATCGCCCGGTCGCGTGCCGCGCGTGCTTCGAAAAGTCGAAGTCCCAGGTTTTCCGTTGTGGGGCATGCCCGAAGGGAGCGGATGGGAAGGCGCCCGCGTTTACAGACGTGAGCCAATTGTCCGATCGCCAGAGAAGGCATTATTTGGAAATTGGTCGAGGGCATCGCCCGGTCGTGCGCCGCGCGTGCCAGGAAAAATCGAAGTCCCAGGTTTTCCGTTGTGGAGCATGCCCAAAGGGGTCGGATGGGAAGGCGCCCTCGTTTACAGACGTGAGCCATGTGTCCGATAGCCAGAGAAGGCATTATTTGGAAACTGGTCAAGGGCATCGCCCGGTCATGTGCCGCGCGTGCCACGAAAAGTCGGAGGCCCAGGTTTTCCGTTTTGGAGCATGCCCGAAGGAGGCGGATGGAAAGGCGCCCGCGTTTACAGACGTGAGTCATCTGTTCGACAGTCAAATAAACCATTCTCGGAAAACGGGTCAGGGGCATCGCCCTGTCGTGTGCCGCGCGTGCCACGATGCGCGCACGGGGGCGAAGCAGTTTGAATGCTCCGCATGCCCCCGGAACGGGGGCGGGAAGAAGCCAACGTTTTCAGACGGGTGCCATTTGTCGAAAGACCAGAAGAATAATTATTTCACGCGAAACACCCCAGTGGTGTGCGCGAAGTGCTTGAAATCGGGACGAGCCCCGCGAAGAGGCGCTCCGAAACGCGCGGCGGACACAAGTGAGGGGCACTGCGAGAAGCCACGGAAGTTGCGAGGAATCTGATTGCAGGGGACGGGACGGATAGGGGGACGTGGAGGTGCGAGGACGGGGGGAGGAGCAGAAGGCGGAAAAGGTGGAAGGTGAGCTGATGGATGGAAGATGACCCAGAGAGCTGAAGGGGAAGGAGGGAAGAGGGGGCGAAAGACGAGGATGAAGAACACAAGTGACGGGCACTGCGAGGAGTCACGGAAGTTGCGAGGAATCTGACTGCCGGGGGGGGCGTGGAGGTGCGAGGACGGGGGGGGGCAGCAGAAGGCAGAAAAGGTGGAAGGTTTGCTGGTGGAGGGAAGATGACACAGAGAGCTGAGGGGGAAGGAGGGGAGAGGGGGCGAAAAAGATGATGAGAAAGAGCAGGACAATACGACGCGGAAGACAAGGGCGGCGACGGACTGGCGCCGTCGTGCGAATCCTCTCGGGGGCCTGCGGGAGTGAGTTTGGATGCTTCTGGGGAGCTGTTTTGGGGCCTCTTGAGACTTCTTTTGGACTTCTAGGGGGCCTCTCGGGCGCCTCTTGGGGCCTCTTGGGGGCCCCTTGAGGCCTCCTGGGTGCTTTTTGGAGCGGAAAGCTAGAATTTTAGATTCGTGGTCCCCGTCTGGAGCCTTTCTTGGGGGCCTCTTGGGGCCCTCTTGAGCTGTCTTGAGGCCCTCTAGGGCCGTCTTGAGGCCCTCTTGGGCCGTCTTGGGGCTCTCTTGGGGGCCTCTTGGGTCGTCCTGTGGCGTTTTTGGGGGGCTCTTGCGCCGTCCTGGAGCGTCGTAAACCGAGAAAAGCGAGAAGGCCAAAAACTTAGGAAGAAACAAATGCAAAGCAATGATGTTGGCCTCTTGGGGCCCTCTTGGGAGGCCTCTTGGAAGCCTCTTCGGGCGTCTTGGCGGCATCTTGGGCCGTCTGAAGGCAATCTTCCTTCGAACGATTTTTCGGCGATTCGGGGGCTCTTGGACCGTCTTCAGAGCTTTTTGGGAGCCCCTTGGCTCGTTTTGGGCCCCCCAGCAGACTTTCTGGAACGGATGACCCCCCCCGGCCCGCGCCGGAGAGGCCCAGACCGGCCCGCCGGGCACCCCCCCCCCCCCCTCCAAATCGACCGGACCAGGCTCCCGGGGGAGGGGTTTGGGGAGGGGGGGGGAGAATCTCACACGCCGATGATCCCCAAGGGGTCGGCGGATTCCGTATGTGATCGTGTTCTTATACGTTGTTTTGCCGATCGGCCTTCGCACCCGCATTTCCCCCCTTCTCTTGGAGTGGATCTTGGCTGTTTTTGGCGCCTGTTTCAAGCAGGTGCAGTCTCCCCCAGAGGACGCACAGTTCCAAACAGTCGCATGAAGCAGAGGTCCAGAGCCAGACGCCCCCCCTCCCCCCCTTCCGCCCACTGTCGAAACGCCGAATAAGAAAACGCTCACATGATTCCGCATCCTGGGATCGCTTCAGTACCAGTTTGGAGCGGATTTTGCGGGACTCTCCCGGCAGGCTGGTGCAGGATTTCTTGTGTCAGTGCTGATCATACGTGCGAGGTTGTGTGTAGCAGTCCGCGAGGGGTGCGCGCAGTGTCTGCATTATTTCCCGCTGCACGCGTTCTTCTTGTATGCGTGAATCACGCCGTTCCCGCGAGCGGGACCAGACGTCCCAGGGCGCTCGATCGGACGTGTGCCAGGAGGGGAAAAAACACACAGACACAATTATTCGTCGATTCCCAGAAAATATGCGAAAATATGGGAAGTGGGGGGGAAGACAGACACCCCGAATATGTGTGAAAATATGGGGAATCTGTTTATTTGTGTGTATTTATTTGTGTGTCCTGGGGCCCCTTCAGCCTTGTGATTCCGCATCCATCTTAGCTCAAGGTCAGTGCGGCCCCCAAGAGCGCGTCGGTCCGCCCCACGGCGTGGGCCGGCGGCGCGAGCTGTCTGGGATGCGCGGCGTCGGGGGCCGGGGCCGCTTGCAGGCCGACGGGACCAGGCTCGTCGTCAAGAACTCGTTCTTGGAGGTTCGGGGGTGGAAAGATCGGGCGACGAAATCTATACATATCCACTGCTCCCTGACCATGCCCATCTTGAACCCAGGAGCTGTGTATGCGCCCTCCTGGCCAAGCCAGGAGGGCGTGGCGTATACACCGCTGCGGGGTTGAGGATGGGCCTGGCCAGGGAGCAGTGGATATGTATAGATTTCGTCGCCCTAAAAGAGCCCCCACTCAACCACGCGCAGAGGGGGGTGAGGGGAGGGGGGGGGCTTCTTAGAAGCACCCCTGCGTCTTAGAATCAGGAGGGGGAAAAACACACAGACACAATGAATCGTCGATTCCCCAGAAAATGTGGGAAAGTATGGGGAGTGGGGGGGAAGACAAAGACCCATAAAGTATGGGAAAATAAGAGGGATCCTGGTATTTGTGTGTATTTATTTGTGTGTCCCAGGGCCCCTTCATAGAAGGCGCGGGCCTGATCTGTGGATACAGGGCCGCCGCCTTCTAAGAAGCAGTCTCCTTCTAAGAAGCCCCCCCCCCACCCTCCACCCCCTTGTGCGCGCCGCCAACCCACCCTGACACGTCGATTAGTGAATTGTCCGTTTTCGGTTCTCGAGATGGCGCCGCGGTCGTCATTGTCCAGGCTCGCGCCCGCCAGGTTCGGGCCCGAGGTCGTTTTCAGTAGACCACGTTTTACTGCAAGGGGATTATGTTCATCCCCGAGAGGTGGTGGACGCTACAACCGGACTCAGCCGAAGCAAGAGCGACGGTCATCTTGTATGCGCGTTGGGGGGAGACATGGCTCAGGTGGATGCGGCTCGCGTTGCACCCAGTAACGCCACGGAGGGGCTCCCGCCGGACGTGGACGGCTGTCTCAATGGGAGCGCAGCTAAAGCCGGCACCACTCACCATTCGTTCTCAGAACCGGTCTCGGTCGGCTCGGGTAGTCGCTGCCACTGGGAGGAGATCAACGATTGCAGCCAGTACGAGATCAGTGGATGCCTCGGGTTGAGCGATGGCGCCCAGGACGAGAGGTACGCAAGCTCCAGCGTGGCGCCGCCCGCGAATCATAGCTCTCCGAGCTGGGAGGCGCACGAGCTCGTGGAGCAGCAGGAGTTGCTGATCACCAAGGAGAAGGCCCATGTCGCCGGCACTTGCAAGCCGTGCTTCTACTTCAAGTTACACGCGCGCTGCAAGAACGGGATAGACTGTAAGTTTTGCCACTTGCCGCACGAGGCCAAGCTCAGGTCGCGACCCAGCAAGTCCGCAAGGCTGCATTGCAAGCAGCTGCTCGCGGCGCTGGACGGCAAGCGCGGGGGCGACCTGAATGTCGCCTGGGGGCTGCCCAGCGGTGGCGGGCGCCACGCGGTGGTGGGCCACTGCATGCGCAGCCCGGACCAACAGTACATGCTCAACATCCTCAGGGCCAGGGAGCGGGAGCAGCTGGCGCCCCAGGGCCCGACGCAGGCCGCCCCGCGCGTTAGTTCGAGGCGCCTGCCTCGCCGCAGGTAGAAGCGCACGGCTTCCGGGGCAGTGCACGGCGGCTGTACAGAGATCTAGGCCTCAGATCGGACCGGAGCAGAGGGGTCGGAGGATCGCGCCGCATCGCCGATGCATCGTCGATGCGGCTCGATGTGCAGCCAGATTTGCTTCACGTCGACGTCGCCGATACATCGCCGACGTCGACGATGCATCGCCGATGCATCGCCGATGCATCGCCGATTTATCGGCGATGCGGCGCGATCCTTCGACCCCGTCTACTCCGACTCCATCTAGTCGGCCTCTAAGAGAGAAGTCGGAGGTGGTAAGCATCCGAAGAGGGGGGGAGCGCTGTCACCAGGCGTTGCGCGGGCAGCGTTGATCAGAGTGTACACCTCTATCACACTGCTCCGCGGTGTGCGTCGCGCTCGTGTGCCGCAACTGGCGGGATGCCACCACCTTGCTAATTGAACTGATAGCACCTACCACCGCAGCCATTGCGAGATTAGGGCCTCGGAGGAGCTAAACTCACCATAACGGCCGTCCTGCGTGTGTTAGGGCGCTAGGTCCGATGTGGTTGTTGGGCATTTTTTTACCGGATTGTGGGGATCCTTGATCGAATTGCGCGGTTGCGTCGTGAGTGGGGGAGTCGGTGGAGAGGGAAAGTGTTGCCAAGCCGCAAAGTGTAATCTCTCATTTGACAGGGTGTTTGCAACCGCATTTCGCAAGCGGTTACAGGGGTTCGTCCGTCTTATAATGAGTTGCTGGGGCTCATTTGTGTGCTCATCAAGCACGTGCCCTGCTGATTGCCGCCCTTGTGTCGTCCGTCTACTCTAGATTGAAGTGTAGCCCATCTCAGTGTGGCCGCTGCGCGGAATGCGTGCGCCAACGTACGCAATATCAGGCGACAGCAAGTCCTGTGAGCTAGTGCAAGTTAGTTGAGCCAGTGGTGCCACTAATACCAGCATTCGCATGCCACTTTTTTTCGGAACGAGTTCCCGCAAGAGCTATCCTGCGCACTCCCCGGGCTTTGGACCGCTGAGCCAATGTTTGCGCACCATGTAACCCGTGCCCTTCAGGATCGGCATCTCGAATTAGGGAACAAGTCATAAGACATAAATTTCCGGAGCTCCGTGTGGATGTCTCGCTTCGGCGCTGGGGCTTTCCCAGCGATGCTTCTGGCGCAGCCCCTGGCACGCATCGCGCGCCAGGGGAGGGTGCCCATCGCAGGTCCAAGGCTCTCCAAGGCATCCGCGCGGATTTCCGAAAGTTGGTGTTTATATCTTCATTTGTTCTTCTAGCATCGTGAAGCGAATCATTTGGTAGGGCACTAATTACCGGGAGTTTCGTCCGGTGCGCCTTTATACAGAAGGATGTTCCAATCCAACTTAGGCTCCGCGAGCAACATGCGAGTCTCTGTACTTTTTTGGGGCTTGGAGACCGACCACTGGATCCCACGGTGCTCGTTTGTCCAAGGTTCCCGCACCCTTTGATTTTTTCAGTGATCATTGAGCCCCTGTTTTTTTGCCCATGCTCGTCAGCCAATCCTCGGCGAGGGCTCCCTCGCCAGCTTGGCGACGACTCCTTCGGGCCTCAAGCCCACGGGGCTGGAGACCCCGAAGAGCCATCAGACCTCTGCAGCCTTGTCGCCTCGGCAAGGCGCCCCGTCGCCTCCACGCCCGCAGTGTCGCGGGTCGCCGCCGCACGCGCCGCTGCGGCCAGCGGGGTGTGGAGCTCAAGAGGTGCACGCGCTCCGCCAGCCGGCGTCGCAGCGCGCGCTCTCGAGCCAGCTCGTTCCCTCGGGGGCTGCTGTAGGTGCCCCTGGCCCAGGGCTCGTCCATTCTGGAGCCCCCCCTGGGGCCCTCTGGGCCCCTGGGCCTCGATCCTTGGGGCACCTTGTGCCAGAGGGCACTTCGAGCAACACCCGACTCTCTTTCTCTCTCTCTCTCTCGCTCTCTCGCTCTCTCTCTTTCTGTCCGGCGCAGGCCGCCCTCCAACGTGGCATGCAGTTGCCGCCCCATTTTGTCGTAGTCTCGCCTTCTCATGATATCCGTGCCGCCGCTCGATAAAGAGCACAGGAGACCGTTTTCGAATCGGCGGTAACCCGGGTTCTCGGGGGGAGGGGGGAGGAGGGGGCCGGCCGATAATCTAGCCTTCGCGCTGTGGGCAGCCCTACATGTGCCCGTGCCCCCCCCACCCCGGACCTGCACAGCCGGCAAGGTCATGTTATCCTGGAGGGGGGGGGGGAGGGCCAGGGGGGGGGGCAAGCCCGATAACCCAGCTTGTCGCCGGACCCTCAAAAAGAAACAGTCTCCAGCCACGCACACACACACACACGCACACACACACGCAACCATCCAGAGACATCCACACTCTGGCAACCCTGCGCTCACGCACCCCTGTCCCGCCTGCTGAGCGCCCTCCCCCTCCGCGCCCCCCTGCCGCACACACACACAGACACACACACACACACACACACACACACACACCCACGCACACACACACACAGACACACACACACACACAAAAATGTCCTCCGTGATGACTTCGCGGGGAGATCTGCCACTCAGGCCATAAAAAATCGGGTCTCTGGCCGCCGTGCGGGGCGATCCTGGCTTGAAGTCGGGCCTGTCCCTCTACAGGGGGACAATTCAAAAATAGGCAAAAACTAGTCTGGGGACGATTGTTGGAGTATTTTTGCAAAGGTTTTGGTTATTTTCTGGCTATGCCCAAAATCCCCCTGCAGGGGGACAGGCCCGACCTTCTCCTGGCTCCCCCAGAGCGCTCCAGGCGAGGCGCAGATGCGGGAGAGCCTCCCGAGGCCGGAGAGCTCGCAGGAACCGATTCGAAACGGCCGAGAGCCTCGGACGATGCGCCGCCGCCTCTCCGTGCAGCGCTCTCACAGAAGGCCCCTTCTGGCGAGGGCTGCGAGGCGCATCCGGCCGTGGCCTCGAAGAGCCAGCGGCCCCCCCCCCGGAAGGTGCAGGGCGTCGGATGACCTCCGCAGCACGCCATCGGGGAGCTCCAGGGCCGAAGATGCTAGGTGGGATCGTGCCCCTCCCTCCTGCCTCCCTCCCTTCCGTTCTCACCATAGTCTTCTTCCTCCTCCTCCTCCTCCTCCTCCTCCTCCTAAGCGATTATGCCTCCAGTACTGCATTTCACGAGGCGTGTCCTGGGGGTGCGTGCACAGTAATGACTTAGCGGGGTTTGGGGTGTCGGTCTCATCGATCCATGTTGCCGTTGCTCCGAAGTCATCCTGGCTCGAAAGGTTCTGGCACCGAATGCAGTCGGTGATCGGGGTCGTTCTTGCCACACTGACTGTCATCCTGCGGGACGCCGCCGAGCGCAATTGGGGCCGCGGACCTCTCGTGCCCGAGGCCCCTCCCGCGGTGGGAGAGCCGACGCCTGCCCCCGCCGCGAGGGTGGAGGTCTCCTGTACTGAGTCCTCTCTGAACATCTGCTTGGTTGAGGACATCATACGACGGGCACGATCCGAGAGCTGCGTGTGTGAGCTGATCTGCGACTCGACGGAGCGGGACACTCGCCTCGTCTTCATTGCGACCTTCTCGGTCTGTGCTGGGCAGTCCTGCATCCTCGTGCTCTACTGTGGCTGGCGCTGGGCTTGCGCTTGGCGACATGGCGCCGGTGGTGTGTCGTCGAGAACGGCTCGGGGACACAAGAAGGCCACTTTCGGTGCAGGAGTTGTCGAGTAGTCTGCTCCCAGGACGGATTGTGACCATCAGGTACCCTGGCGAGGACCTCTGGCATGAGAGAGTTATGATGGGCCCTGGGCTGCGCGATGAGGCGGGAGTCGTGACCAAGTGGTGGATCCTGACGCCCGACGGGGACTTCTATGAGGAAGACATCTCCATGAAGGCGGGCGAGGGCGAGAGGCCAGTGGGGCTCGACCTGGCTGGCTCCTGCCCTCGCGCGATGCGCGGCAGGTTCTATAGGTTCGCAGACGACGCCTATCCGAGCGATGACCGTGTCCGCCGCGAGGCCCAGCAGGCGGTGGCTAGGATGCGGGCCGCTGGGCAGGAGCCTCCTACCTTGCTGCACTTCGTGACTGAGGACGGCGTCCTGGCCCCTCTTTCGGGTGTCGGGCGACGGCTCCGCCGAGGGGGCGCTGCTGGCGTGGGTGGCGGCGACGCGGTGGCGGTCGTCGTTGCCGACGGGGCCGCCACCCCCGAGCTGCCCCTGCCGCTTGGGGCGGCGCCACCTGGCGGTGAAGCCAAGCCCGTCGCGGGCGAGGCCGTGGCGCCCTACCTGGCTGTGCTGCCCGAGCGCCAAGCCCTCCGCGAGGGCTTGGTCTGGCTGGTGACCGAGAACGCCGAAGGCCACGAGACGCCGGGCATGGAGGTCACCCCGCGCGCTGGCGACGTGATCATCACGACGACGGACGGCCTGGTCCACAGGCGCGGCAGTTTCCTCCGTGTCCAGGCGGTCCCGAGCTGCGACTGCGTGGAGTTCGCGAGAGCGCTGAGGGCACGGCATGAGGGGGTCTCTGGCGCTGTGGGACCCGCCGCCCTGGCTGCTCCACGCGCTGCCGAGCAGGCCCCTTCGGACGAGGACGTCCGTACGTTGTGGGTTGACAATGACGGAGTGGGGGAGAGGTACAAGAGCTGGAAGAAGGCGGTGCAGGAGAGCAGGGGGGAGCCCATCTCCGCCGTGGAGGTGCAGGGCCCGCCAAGCACGCTTCCCCTCGCCCGCCATGTCCGAGCGATACGGGGGCGACCCGCGGCGCTGGTGGCAGGAGTTTGCGCCGACAGCAACATTTTCAAGACGGACCGCGTCTACCATGAGATGGCCACGTTGACGGAGAGTTTCAAGTAGTTCGGTGAGTACGATCAGCTGAACCTGGGCGCGTCCGCGGGCATCGAGAAGATGGTGCGGCGCATGCTGGGTGTGATAGACGCCTACTCCATGGGCGGCGGGGCGCCGTCCTGGCGCATGGCCGCCGTGTGCGAGGGGGGGGGGGGGGGGGGCAGCTACGGCGACGCTATCGCCCCCGCCCCGCGGAAGTGGGGAGTGAACAAGCTGAAGGGGCAGGCGGAGATCGAGAGCACCCGGACGCGCCAACTGCGGCCTGCGGCAGAGGGCGCTGGCGCGGGAGGCGGCCAGGGCGCCGCCGACGGCGGACGAGGCCGCGGAGGCGGCGGTGATGCGGGTCGGGGCGGGCGGGGCGGCAGAGGCTCCGCGGCCCCGAAGGATGGTTGACCAGGATGACGGGCTGTGGACAGGCCCGCCACGCCACAGCCCGCTGAAGGTGGGGGATTTTCGGGCGCCTGGTCGCCCCCGCCTCTTTGAGCAGTTTCCGCTGGCTCTTCCTCGGCGCGAAGCTGCACCTGCTGACGGCGGCCGTCGTCGCGGGCGCTACCGCGCTCGCGATCACATGCGTCAGTTGGCCGATGCATCTTCCAATGCACTTAATTGGCCTGCGAAGACTGATGCCCGCGGCCCCGCGGGGGTCCGAGGTCGCCCAGGTCGCGCCCTCAGTGGACGTGACGCCTCCCGTCGGGAGGCCCCCCCTCAGTTGGATGAGAGCCTGGCGCGCTTGGAGTCGCTCGCCGAGCTCCAGGTGCGCGAGGGGGCTCGGGATTTCTACAAGCCGCCAGAAGTGGCCCTCCGGGAGTTGCTCTGTGAGAAGGCGTCTGGCTACAGGATGGGCGCTTCTTCGACTACGCTCGCGCCGTACCAGCGTGGTCGGGTCTCTTTGCCCGAGAAGAGGACCAGCGCCCCGAATGTCTCGGACTTAGTTGGGGACCGTGGCCGATACTTTCTGGAGGGCGCAGGGGGGCGCATGCTGGATCCGACCTTCAGCAACAGTTTTGATGACGACGCTGAGCGATGCTATGTGGATCAGCAGTTCGCCAGCAGCCCCACGCTCTACGCCCGCTTCATCCGTGACCTCAAGGCCAGGAACATGCTGGTCTTCGGCGGATGGGCTCATGAGCGAACTGGTTTCTTTTTTGTTTCAAAAAGAACGGCAAGCTCCGTCTCATCCTCGACGCGCGGCGGACCAACAGGCGGTTTGCGCCGCCGCCGCGCGTCGATTTGTTGACGGCCGAAGATCTCGGTCGGATCGAGGTTGAGCTTCCCGACGGTCAAGAATATTATTAGTTGTTTTGTTTTTGCGGCACTGCTGACGTCCAGGATGCTTGTCATCGGATGGGCATCCCGACTTGGCTCTCTCGCTGGTTCGGTTTGCCCCCCGTCCGCGCTGCCGGTGTGGGGCTGACGGATGCCCTGGATGGCCCAGTCGGGCCCGACGAGATGGTGACGCCTATGCCTCGGCGTCTGCCCATGGGCTTCTCGTGGAGCTTGTTCCCGGCGCAGGGCATCGACGAGGGGGTGGCTAGCCAGGTGCTGAGCCGCGCCGAGCTGCTTCGCGATCGGGGCCAGCCCCCGGCCCCCACGCTGCGGGGCGAGGCCGCTTCGGACACCAAGCACTACATCTACGTCGACAACATCGGGGTTTTCGGGTCAGACGGCAGCGTGGTTGCCTCGAAGCTGGAGGGCGTTTGCGCGGCCTTCGAGGCGAAGGGGCTCGCCGTGCACGAGGTGGCCACCTCCGACTCGGGCGTCGAGGCGCTGGGGGTGCTCCTCGACGGGCGGCGGCGCCACACGAGGCTGACGGCCAAGCGCTTCTGGCGCGTCAGGGGTGCCTCGTTGGCCTTGGCAGGGCGCCGTCGCGCCTCTGGGCGCCAGGTAGAGATCGCCCTTGGGCATGCCGCCTTCTGTAGGCTGGTGAGGCGCGAGACGTTGTCGGTGTTCGCGACGGTCTACCCGTTCATCAGGCGGCGCTACGATCAGCCCGCGCCCCTCTGGCCCTCCGTCGCCGACGAGCTGCGCGCCTTCGCGGGCCTGATGGTTCTCCTGGTCTCCAGCTGGGAATCGGACTGGGACCCCCTCGTCGCGGCCACCGACGCTTCGGAGACGGGCTACGGCATCTGCACGCGCTGGCTCGCGGCCGAGGATGTGGCCGCCGTGGGCCGTTGCCGAGAGCGCGACCGCTACCTTGCAGAGGGGCGCGTCGGAGCTCGCGCGGCGGCGCTCGGCGCCGAGCCGCCCCCCTGCGAGCCCCTCGGCGTAGAGGGCTGCTTGGGCCGCGCAGACCCCCAGTCTGATCCGCACTTCGCCGAGGCCCCCAGCTGCATGACCGACCCCGTCGCTTGGGCGGCGGTTGGCGGCTGGAAATTCGAGCAGCCAGAGGACATCATGGCCCTGGAGGCTCGCGGCATGTTGCGCGGGCCGGAGCGAGTGAGTCGCACCAGGCATGGTCGCAACATTCGCCAGCTTCTCTTTGCCGACAACCTAGGCCTCGTTCTGGCCGCAGGAAGGTGGCGACGTCGGAGTTTCAAAATCCTCGTGGTGTTGCGCAGGATGGTGGCGCGGTGCCTCAGTCGTAACATTCACCTGTCGGTGCGCTGGATACCGTCCGAAAGGAATCCGGCCGACGCTCCCTCTCGCCTGTTTGATTCACGGTCGAATTCGGTAGGCCTTGAGAGAGACGACGGCGACCGCCCCCGCCCCCCCATAAGCGCGCCTCCCACGACGATTTCCAGGGCCCTGGTGAGGCGGAGGGACCCTGTAACTTAATGGATCCGTTTTTGCTTATCCGTTTTCGCATGCGGGCGCCCGAGACGTCTTGGCAAGATCTAGGGCTCCATGAGAATCAGGCGTTGCATTGGGCCCCCAAACCAGAGCCTCCTCGTAAAGACAAGGGCCCCTCCGTAGACATTTCGGCTCACGCCGTTTCATATGCCACCGCCCCCGTCTATCTGCACCGCCAGAGTTCGGGTCTTAGCCTCGTCGCGGCCCGAAGTGCTGCCGACAGCTGCGCCGACCAGGAAGCGCCGACTGGAGAGTTCGTCGGGGCCGTCCGCATCACTGCAGCGCACTTCCCGTGTCCTCAAGGCGGAGGGCGAGTTGGGAGTCGCCGCTCTGGCCCGCAGCGCCTGCGAGCCTGGCCTTGCGGACTCCGAGGTGAGACTCATCCTGGAACAGCTGAAGGGGTTGATCAAGACCGATCCGCGCTTCAAAGAAGCGTCGAGCTCGGACAACGAGGGCGAGGTCACGGCTGCCGTTCGACAGCGAACGCTTCCTCGCAGCAGGAAAGCCACGCTGACGAAGCTTCTGGCGTCCGAGGCGCTTCCAGAGCTCTCCCACTTGACGCTCGGAGAGCACGCAGCGGTGAGGCCTCGGACCGAGGCGCAGCATGCCCAGGAGGTGCACCAGTGCAGCCTGTTATGTGGCGTCGAGCGCGCGACGGAGATCCCGATCGAGAATCTGGACGATCTGCTGGTCCAGTACATCGATCACCAGATCAAGTCGGGAGTGACGGCAGCCCGTGGCATGGAGCCGTTGGCTGGAGTGGTCCACGCTCGGCCGCAAGCGGGGAAGCAGGGCCCACACACGTTGCAGCGCAGCTGGAGGGCGCTGAAGGGATGGCAGAACCTGTGTCCCTCGACCTCCCGTCTGCCCGAAGCGTGGCCGATCTGGTGCGCCACCGTGAACGGGCTGCGCGGCATGGGGGGTTACGAGATGGCCCTGTTCATCTGTCTCGCGTGGAGCACCTACGCGCGCCCTATCCAGCTGATGGCGCTCAAGCCCGAGTGCTTGTGCGCCCCCGGCCGAGTCGCCACTTACTGGACCGTTCAGTTGAACCCAGAGGTCGACGGGGTGCCTTCCAAGGCAAAGAGTTCGATGTGACGATCGAGTTGGACCGCGACTGGTGGCTCGATCTGACTCCCAGGCTCCAGGCTCTTCGATCTCGACCTCCTGGGGTACGCGTCTGGATCTTCAGCTATCCCCAGCAGGCTGCTGCTGTGCAGAAGGTCGCCCGCGACCTGGGCTTCAACCTGGTGGTGTACCAGGCCAGGCACAGTGGCGCCAGCACGGACATGGCCTCGCGTCGGCGCACGCTGGCAGGGGTCAAACAGCGGGGCGGCTGGAAATCAGACCGCTCGGTGGTGCGATGCGAGAAGGGCGCAAGGTTGAGCTCGACGTGGATGGCCCATCCGAGCTGGCCACGGCAGCACGCAGCGCAGTGCGAGGAAGAGTTCGTGGAGATCTTGGTGCACGGCCACGTGCTGCCAAAGCCCGCTTTGCACTCCCGATAAATAAACACCCGCGCGCGGGCCGCGCCGCGGCCTCGGGTCGGCCCTCCGGGGGGGATCTCGTTGACGCAGTAGAGACCCCCACTGCGTGCTGGATCTGTTACGGGGCGCCCATCCCGTAGAACCCCTTTCTGGATTCTGCAGCAGTTCGGAGCAGGCCAGGAGCTGTAACGGCAAACCAGCGCGACGGTCCGCACATAGGCATTCCTGTAGGCCAGAGCTTTATAAGGCGCTCCCACATGTAGGTCGGCTGGCCCACCCACCAGTCAGGCTGCGACCCGCGGGCCGGTTGAATTCCCTGCATGTCTTTGGCCCCCCCGCCACTGCCTACGCGGTAGCGCGAGCACTGAGAATCCCGAAGCTGGGAACACCCCGGGCAGTTCGTCAGCTCATGGCCCCGGTCAGCAGACAGTCCCTCGTGCGAGGTACTTCTCCAGCCCAGAGCCACGCCCGCCAGAGCCTCGTTAGCCGCGTCAACCACGTGCCGTTGGCGCCCTTCCACCCCGGAGGGTAGCCCGCGAAACCTCCGGCGAGCCGGAGGGGGCGGGAGAGGCTGCCACAGCGCCGTGGGATCGTTCCCGCTCCCCGCCAGACTTTCGTCTGTAGGTGAGGTTGGACTTTCGGCAGCAGCGTGGCAAGGACATGGGCGCAGCCACCTCCGAGCCTCCCCCTGCCGGGCCGCGGCCGTAGCCGTAGCCGGGGAGCCTCCCGATAGATGAGAGACGCCTCTTTGTCTTGGTCGTGGGCCAGGCTTTTAGCGTTCCTGCACATGTCGTGGCCGCAGGATTTCTCGTTCGGTATATCGAGGATTGCGATGTGTCAGATTCTCTTTCGTTCAGGCTCAGAACTGACATGAGAAGGGGGAGCATCGGCGGAGTCCTCATCTCCCTGAGCCACCAGATCATCGCTCTGGGGCTTCCCTTGGCGGTCAGTTGCTTCAAGTCTGTGAATGAGACAACGGCCGCACGCCTTTTTATGCTCCCCTCCCCTGCTGTCTTTTCTCACATGTGTAGATACAAAGGGGTTTCCAGGCTGAGCGTCGCTACGCTTACCAGCATCATCTCGCATAATGACGCTAACCGTCTAGGGTTGCAATGCCCTGGCGCCAGGGCTCGGGGCGGCCACAAGAAACACGTCTCCCGACCCCGCCCCGCCGAGCTTATCCCCGCGTGCTTCCATAAATCCGTCGTTTTCACAGTGTTGAGCGCCCTGCGGGCGCGATACCTTACGGTGTGAGAACAGCTTCTGTTTTGGGAATCTGACTTGGGTGTGATTTCAAGGAGAGGCGAGTTGAGGCACCCGCCTCTCCAGCCTCGGATCCGAGTCGCCTAGACCAGCGAGCATAGTAGAGAGAACAGTTCCCCCCTGAAAACCATGGGTAAGTCAGAATTACGACACGGCGCTCGACATCGTTCCTGTTGCTTCGTTGCTGTTATCGTACCTCTTGGTGCTCTTTTGCGGCCTTTTGGTGGCATCGTGGCCTGTCTGCAGGCCATATCTGGCCACCTCGAGGCATCTTGGGCCAAACTTTGGCCAAAGATACAGTGGAGGCCCATGCCAAGAAACACCCTGCTTGCCTCCGGGGTGCCCTGGGTGTCTTGGGTCTCGCTGGTTTCGCTGCGGGAAGCGTGACGCTCCCACAACAAGACTCAACGGACGTCCTGGGGTCTCGGGGCTGAGTTCCCTGTGGACGTTTTCCTGCGGTCGGGCCCCCGCTGTAGCCCACAGCCTTCCGTCGCGCATTGTTTGCGACGCGGGGGGTTCACCGGGCCCAGCGACGAGCTCTGCTCACACCTTTTTGCCCATGACCAGGTCCATCCCGGGTCCAGGAGCGGCGCGCACGTCTCTCCTGGCCAAGCTCGGCCTGCCCACGCGCAGCTCATGGGCCCAGAGTGGGCCTGGCCAGCGGATGTGCACGGCAGGTGCGCGTCGTCTCGACCGGCGGCGGCCCCAGCGCGGGTGTCTAAGATTGACCGCCGCCTGTGGCCAAGAATCTGCCCATCCTCGAGCTATACGGCCTTTTGAAAGGGCCGATCGTTCAAATTTGAACGAACCTGCGGTGTCAGGAACCAACGCCGGGGTCGGCACGACGCAAACCTGCCGTATCGATCTCGTCGCCCTACAGAAAGGGCATCCTGCGGGGCGAACGGCGAGCATGACGTCCACGGGCGGGTCCTTTTCCGTCGGCGCTGGCCGGGCAACGCGCATCCCCCTCATCATCCTCCGCGCCCCTCCGCCGAGCACGCGCCTCTGTCTCTCGGACGGGGCGGAGGAGGAGGAGGAGGATAAATCCGTTTCAGATCGTTCCGGAACACTCTCAGAGCATTCCGGGACGCTCTGAGAAGGCGCGGCGCCCCAGACATCCTCCGGAGTCGCCAGATCTCAGAGATTCTGGATTGACCCTCGCCCGATCGAGTCCTCGTCCTGGCTTCGTCTTGGTCTCGTTCTCCCTCGTTCCCGCGCTCCCTCTCACTCTCTCGCGTTGGGGCTGATCTGCGGGCGAGCTCCCCCGGGGAGGGTGCTGGGCCTTCTTCTGTGCTTTTCCTGGCCGAGGGAGGGGGAGGAGGAGGGGGCGGGCGACTTCGGGACGTTGAGGCCTGTGGGATGGGCCCAAGACGAAAGGAGCAGGTGGGGAAGGAGGGGGAGGTGGAGGAGGAGGGGGAGGGAGTGGAGCGAGTGGGGGAGGGAGGGAGTCGAGGGGGTGGGGGAGGGAGGGAGTGGGGCAGTGGAGCAAGGAGGGGGAGGACGCGGACGGGGAGGATGAAGAGCGAGGGAGGGAGGGAAGAACCACGAGGAGGAGGCGGGGCCAGAGGAGGAAAGGGGGCCGGGAGAGGAGAAAGGGCTTCACCTCTCCCCTGCTCTGCCCCAATCCTGGTACGGGCTGCGTGGACATTACCCTGAGAGTGCTGACTGCCTGCTCGAGGGGGAAAGGGGGGGGGGGGCGGACATCCAACCTCCGTGCCGTCGCCCCCCCCGAAGCGCTGAACCCCATCACCATCATCAGCATCAGCATCATCAGCATCATCATCATCAGCAGCATCAGCATCATCACCATCACCACCATCATCATCAGCAACATCATCATCATCATCATCATCATCATCATCATCATCATCATCATCGTCATCGTCATCGTCATCGTCATCTCATCATCATCATCATCATCATCATCATCATCAGTATTATCATCAGCAGCATCAGCACCAGCACCAGCACCATCACCATCAGCAGCATCAGCATCGGCATCAGAGTCAGCATCAGCACCAGCACCATCACCATCACCATCACCATCACCACCATCATCATCACCGTCATCAGCATCAGCATCATCAGCATCATCAGCATCAGCATCAGCACCATCATCATAAGCACCATCAGCATCAGCATCAGCACATCATCATCATCAGCATCAGCATCAGCAGCATCAGCATCAGCATCATCACCATCATCAGCATCAGCATCATCATCAGCATCAGCATCAGCATCAGCACCATTACCATCACCATCATCTTTTCCACCAACATTGCATTTGGTCTCATCGCTTGTGCATTCGCTTTCTCCCCTCCCGCTGCCTCTTCCCCTCAAGCCTTTCTGCCGTGAACAGTTCATGGCCGCCTGGGTGCACGCTGCAGGCGGGTGGGTTCTCGGCGCGCTCTCTGAGCGCTGGACTGGACCTGGCCGCAGCGGGATCGCCGAGGTCTCCTGCCGCTGCGTGTTCGAGGGCTCGGACACGACTGACGGCCTGGTGGCCATCCTCCGGGAGCAGCTGGCACGCTGCGGCCCGGAGCACCTGCAGGGGGTCGCGTGCCAGCCCTGCCCTCCGTGCCCGCTCCCGCCTGGGCACTACACGGGGCTCGACCTCTGCGGCGCGGCCGTGGTGGGCGTGGCCCTTGGCGCTGGGCTCGCGACCGCGGGCTGGCTGGCGGCGGGCTCGCCTGGACGGCCGGCGGCGCGAGCGCGCGCCCTCGCCGTCGAGGACGACGCCGGGGGCACACCCGTGGCGACGCCGGCGGGCCTCGGGCGTGGCCGTCGGGCTCCTGGTGCTCGTGCTGATTGAGGGCCGCCATGGCCCGTGCGCTCGACACCCCGTTCAGCCAGTGCCTCGTCAGGTACGAGGACGACGAGAACTTCCAGTGGCACCACCGTGTGCTGCTGGTGAAGGGCGATGCCCAGAAGTGGATCTGGCTCACGCCGGATGGGGAGGTGGCCTTCGTCGACCTGGCCACGTTCCGTGTGCTGGCCCTTCGGCGTTCGGGCCCCTTCCCGGCGAGGCATGCGGGCAACATCTACGCCTTCGACGAGGTGGCGCCGGAGGACATGCAGGGCTACCTCGAGGAGGCCAGGGCCCTGGGGACGATCCTCGGGTTCGACCTCGCAGGCGTCGTCGGCCTCCCCGGGGACAAGTGGTACGTGAGCGACCCCACCTCGTCGCACTTCGGCGAGGAGGTGCCGCCGCAGGTCCTCGCCAACGAGGAGGTCCTGGTGCGGCGTGGGCATGTTGGGCTCGTACGGCTGGACGACGTCTGGGTCCACGCGATCAAGGTGGGCGAGGGCCAGAACTTCGACACGTACCTCGCCCGAGCTCGCGGGGGCGCGGGCCGGGACCCGCGCATCGTGGGCGACGACAGGGACCAGGATGGAGGCAGGTACATCGACTTCCGGGACTCGGTGCGCCGCATCCCAGAGGAGCCTTTTCTCGCAAAAGGCGAGAAAGCGCAAAAAGTGAGAAATTTCTTGTTTCAGCAACAAAAAATAAGAATTCTTGGTTTTTCTAGATTTGGCACAACGTAGCACAATTTTATACATGTGATATTATATTTCGGAACACCAACACGAACAACATCAACACTTTATAAGGGGGATACACTCACAACGGAGAGCATTCATACGCATTTAGCCCGTCGGGCTGGCGGTATTTCGCGTTGTTGGAGGTATTTCGTATTTGGGCGCGTTCGATTTCTTCTCCTCCTCCTCCTCCTCCTCCTCCTCCTCCTCTCCTCCTC